GTAGTCATCAAATTGTACCTTTCGCCTGGGAAATGAACACGCGCCCACAGTTTGACATCGGCTCTTTGGAGGTACCCATGAAGCTCAGGATTAATAGCTTCAATCTCCTCGAACATTGCATTAAACTCAGGCATCCTGAAACATCTTGCCGCTTTCTTCACCAGACGAAATACATCTTTCCCTTTGTACCGTCCCAAAAGGTTCTTATATAAATGGTACGTGCAAATTCCTCGAGAAGCCAACGGATACACATTTCGAATAGCCTTCCCAATCGAGTTATGCATATCTGAGATTATCGCAAGACCTTGTCGTCAGGAATTAAAACTTTTAGTTGCGTAAAAAAACAGTTCCACGAATCTTCATTTTCTGTATCAACCACACCGAAGGCGATTGGAAAAATCTGAAAGTTTCCATCCTGAGCTAGTGCTGTTAGAAGCGTCCCTTTGTATTTGCCATTAAGAAACGTACCATCGACAACCACAACTTTGTGCATGAAAGGAAACCCATTTATTCTCGCGCCAAACGTAAGGAACACATACAAGAATCTTCCAAACTCATCGATTTGAAGACGAGTTATTGTATCAGGATTTGCTCTTCTAATCATGAATAAGTAAGAAGGCAAGTTTTCAGAACCACTCTCAGGTGTTCCCATATCGATTTCCCTTGCAAATTTCAGAGTCTTATATGATTTCCAATAATCCATCTGCCCAAATGAATACAAATAATAACTCAGCCAAATCACTTAAGTAACTCAGCTTAAACGTACAAATAACTCAGTTGGATAACTTAAATATCTCAGCCGTAACGTATAAATAACCCAGCCCATATACTTAACTAACTCAGCAGAAACGTTGAAGTTTAAATAAACCAACCAGATAATTCAACTAACTCAGCCGCATCGTTCGATGTTTATATAACTCAGCCTATCACTTAACTAGCACAGCCGGACGTTAATATANGATATAAGTCAGCCATACTACAACAATTACCTTGAGACCGAACTGTTTATTGAGAGCTATTCCCACACTCGTAGGTCGAACGGCCGGACCAACGTCGCCGAGAAAGTTTATGTACAATTCTCCTAAAATATCTGGTGTTGCTTGTCGAGATCGATTAGAACGCTCAGTTACAGAACATGTATGTTCCGAATCGTAAATATGAACATAGAATGTCGGGGAATCCCCTTGTGTTGAAGCACGAACTCTCCAGAGACATCCATCAACCCAACATTTAACAATGAGTAAATCTGGATTGGATATTTCCACATCATCATAACATTGATCTCTCACTGTAAGAAGTTTCAGTCGTCATTCCGACTCACCTTTACTCTGGTATCGTTTCCCAACAGCAAGGTTTAGCGAAGACATCTCCTACCTAAGAACCTCTGAATCCCCCTTAGATCCGGTCCAATTGTAAGAAGTTTCAGTCGACTGAGATCTCTTTTTAGGAGGTAGTGTCGGTGAATCTTCGTCTTGCGCTGGAGACTCACCATATGAGCTAAAGTTATCATCTTCGGATGACGCACCATCTGAGTCGTCGAACATATCAAATCGGCTATCAAATTCACTGTCTTCTTCGCCTTCTTCATCTTCTCCAACATCTTTCTGTTTTTCTCCGTCCAGGATATTAGAGAAGGTATTCTCATTGTCGTTATGTTCCTCCTCCAAACTAAAACCATCGTATCTAGATTCAACTTCTGAGGCTTCTGCTTCTGAGCTGAAATTGTATAATATATTACTCTTCTCTCCCGCTCCGTCTTTCCTGCTGATCTCATCATCCTTGTTCTCTATAATCTCTACACAGAGACGTAATATTTCGGTTTTCCTTAGGCTTAAAAATATTTGCAATTGACGAGTATTGGATATGTAAACTGGTGGCGTGTCGTGAGACATTGTTTTCAAAGCTTTATTCGAGAACTGGTAGCTTAGCTGAATCTGATGGCTCGGCTCATTCAATCCGTAATCATCGAGTACTGACTTTGCGAGTTCGCCGTGTGTTGTTTTCTCATCTGCATGCAGAACAATACATCCTCTACTGTCGGGTGTGAATACATATTTGTTTTTCTTAATCCAGTTACCTGAAACAATAATTACTGGATCCATAAGATCTTAGAGAAAGAGAAGAAGGTGAAGAACAGATAGTGGCGTCGGTAACATAAACCCTAATTTTGTTGTTGTAGTTAGTAATGACATGGAAAATAAAAGTTGACATGGATGATCACATGGAAAATCAGTAATTAAGCCATCGAACATTTAAGTCCGCCACAATAAGTCAGCCACTTAATACACCGTAAGTCAGTCAAAACGCGAATACTATTTTAGTAACTAACTTTTTGTTAACAATCAGTCATAACAAAGATGAAACGCAAGAAGTCAGCTGTATCGTTAAATAAACCAGCCGGCAAATGAATGATATTCTAGTAATTAATCTTTCGCTAAAAAGTCAGCCGTAAATCAGCTGAGTTTACTGTTACTCCACTTTACTACGACTGATTAAATATAACTCAGCTGTAAAAACATCTCATAACTCGGCCGCTCGACGATCAATTAACCAGCCGCGATAGTTAACTCAGTCGTATGGTAACTAGAACTCAGTCGGATTTTCCAGGAACCAGCCTAAGGATGTATAAGCCAGTCGTAATATCTGACCGTAACTCAGCCGTTATCACATACACCAGCCAGATTTTTTCAAGTCAGCCGTAACGATCGACTGAGTTATGTTCATAACTCAGCTAATTTCTCATAAGTCAGCTAGATTATTTAAGTCGGCCGTAACGAAGTTCATATACTATTGCGGCTGAGTTTTATGCCGCATTCTTACGTGGAGCCGATTTTTTGCCTATGTGGTACAAAAAAGTAATGGCATTCCTGTAAATACGCTTTTTCTCACAAAGTAAAAAAAAGGCACGCTGGGTATTAAAAAAAAAATAGTAATAAAAAAAGTTTTGTATGGTTGTGATAATAATTAATAAAATTCATACTAGTTGAGTTAACTTTCCATTATTCAAAGGCTATATTTTTCGTATTTGTATCTGATATGAATATCGATCAAATTCACTCTTCTTAACTCTATAGAAGGCTAAAAACTGACAATTGAAAACCAAAAAATTGGTGAAAAAACGTGACGCACGTACCTAGGTATAAGAAAAAAAAACAATAGAAAATTAAATGCTAGCAACATAAATGACATCTTACTTTTGTAAGTGATTATATTAACAAAAGATTATTTGAACTTTTTTTCACGGTAAAATAGAATTTTAGAGTAGAAGTACTTCAATAGTACTCTATTTCTTATTATATAATAGAGTAGAAAATAGATTTATTTCAAATACAAATGAGCTTGTTTTTTTTTTTGTTTATTACTCTATTTTTTATTTTAAAATAGAGTACCTGGGGTAAACTCAATTCTTTTATAAAGTAATTTTATTTTAGAATAAAAAATAGTGTAAAAGATTGGAGATGGTCTAAACTGAGTTGTGTTGTTCTTCAATTGCGTTTACTTTTTTTATTCTTATTCAATTTCCTTTTTTCAGTTCCGTGGGGGAAGACAGGAGGATAGCTGACAGCCTGCATATATGGTTTCACCACAAAGACTATATCTCTTGCAAATCGTTACAAGGAAATCTCACTCTCTGGCAAATGCCCTTGTTAACAAGTCACAAGAGTCTATCTGCGATGCACACCAAGTGTTCGACGGAATTACTGACTTGAATGTCGTTTCTGGCACAGCAGTGATTGGCCGTTTTGTGAAGCAGGACAGCCATGTAGAGGCAATCCATGCTTTCAAAAGGTTGTTGTATCTGGGAATCAAACCTAACGAGTTCACCTTCGGCACAGTCATTGGGTCCTCTACATCTTCGAGAGATGTTAAATTAGGCAAGCAGCTACATGGTTTTGCATTAAAGATGGGACTCGCTTCGAATGTGTTTGTGGGTAGTGCGGTTCTGAACTGTTACGTGAAGCTGAGCACGTTGATGGATGCTCGTACAAGCTTTGATGATACTAGAGACCCAAACGTTGTTTCTATTACCAATTTGATAAGTGGGTATCTGAAGAAACATGAATTTAAGGAAGCCCTTTCCTTGTTTAGAACAATGCCAGAGAGAAGTGTTGTTACTTGGAACGCAGTGATTGGTGGGTTTAGCCAGACGGGACGGAACGAAGAAGCTGTGCGTACTTTTGTGGATATGTTAAGGGAAGGTGTGGTGATGCCTAATGAATCAACCTTCCCTTGTACTATAACAGCCATATCCAATATAGCTTCTCATGGCGTTGGTAAAAGTATCCACGCCTGTGCTATCAAGTTCTTGGGTCAACAGTATAATGTCTTTGTTTGGAATTCTCTCATTAGTTTCTACTCCAAATGTGGAAACATGGAGGATAGTCTTTTGGCTTTCAACAAGCTCCGTGTACAAGAAAGGAACATCGTATCTTGGAACTCTATGATATGGGGTTATGCGCACAATGGAAGAGGAGAAGAAGCTATAACCATGTTTGAGAAAATGATCAAAGACACAAACCTGAAACCCAACAGTGTAACACTTCTTGGACTGTTATTTGCGTGCAACCACACGGGCCTAGTCCAGGAAGGGTACTCATATTTTAACAAAGCAGTGAATGATTATGATAATCCAAACCTGCTACAACCTGAGCACTATGCATGTATGGTGGATATGCTCTCTAGGTCAGGTCATTTCGAAGAAGCAGAGAAGCTTATTAAAAGTCTGCCTCTTGATCCGGGAATCGGGTTTTGGAAGGCATTGCTTGGGGGATGCAAGATTCACTCAAACAAGCGTCTGGCTAAATTAGCTGCCTCTAAGATCTTGGAGATGGATCCTAGAGATGTTTCGTCGTACGTTATGCTTTCAAATGCTTACTCTGCTGTGGAGAAGTGGCAGAATGTGTCGGAGATACGGAGGAAGATTAAAGAAATGGGTTTAAAGCGTATCTCAGGATGTAGTTGGATTGAACTTAGAGGCCGAAGTTGTGTCTTTGTCAATGCTGACAAAAACAACAAAGAGAAGGGTGAAGTCTATAGGGTGTTGTCACTTATTACGCAACATCTTATGGAAGACTTGTGAAGACTTCAAAAATTCCACTGTCTAATGTTCATAGAATAACAATCCCCTTTGAGACAATTTTGATGATACTCTATAATATTATTTGAGAAGTAACTATCACATGTGTTAGATTCAATTATCACAATGATTGATTAAACTAATATCCTTAATGAATTGAATTAATTATTATAATTATTATTGATATTTTTTTCCTACGAAAAGTTATAGCAAATTTTCATTAATAACAATTATTTTCTTTTCTTTTTCTCAATAAATTTTTTGTTAAATTTTAAATTTAAACTAGAACCTAACTCGCACCCCCACGCAAATGTTTTATTTTATTTGTATTCAGCGTAAACCCATAAATCATTGGTTTCATAAAAGAATCCTATGTATATTTTATGTTAGAAATATATATATCATAACTTCACAAAACAAATTGACAAAATAAATATTTTTAAGTATTATTATTCATTAATTTTTTTTAATATGAATATATTTTGGTAAATGATTAAAAATAATAATTTTTAAAAACTTAAACTGATACATTAATTTCGTATTATTAAAGATTTTTATTATGAATAGATTTTAATAAATTATTAAAAATAAAAATTTATTTTTTAAAAAATAAACTCATCAATTAATATCATATTTTTCAAAGATGTTTATATCTTATTACTATCTTAAACCCATTTAAATATTTAAATATATGAGGCAGAATAAAAAGGTAAAATATTACTTTTTTACTATGACAAATTCTGATGAAATAATTAATTTTAATAGCATAAATTGATCGTATAATATCAGATCCTAATAAAACAGTTTATGTAATTAATCACTTAAATGAATAAATTAATGAAAAATTAATTTTTTTGTCGTTACTTTATCCGAATTGAATATCAATAAATTGATAGAAACAAGCTTGTATGTTTTTTTGTTAAAGTTTAACTGATCAACGAACTTTCAAAGTAGTAGTGATTCAGTTTGTTTATTCAACCCTAAATTCTTCAACACTGGTTTATTCAATTTTACGAAAACATCATATATCAAATTGTATATAACTTACAAAATATATTTATCAAACTAAGAAGAAAACTAAAAATCAAATTAACAACATTATTCTTAGTTTAGTCCGATGAAACCAAAATATGCTCCATTTCAAAAGAATTGATAAACACACAATATACCAAAATATGAATAATTGAATGGATAAAAATAGAACAATCAAATAAACCAGTTATGACGATTTAATTATTTTATAGGGAAATTTGCCAAATATGACTCAAAACTTGGATTCAAATACAAAAGTAAACCCAAACATGAATTAAATGCAAAAGTAACCTAAAAGACTATTGAAATTACAACCAGTCTCTTGTGAACAAACAAAAAACCCAAAAAAGTTTTACGTTTCTAACCCCCGTAAGTATTCTATCTAGACGACTTTCAATTAAGTCGTCTGGACGACTTAGTTGAAAGTCGTTCAGTATAGTTATTCTTAAAATTAATTTTAAAATTTTGTAAAAAATATTTAGATAAGTGAAAACTTGAAATCATGTAATTAACATATGTTTTAAGAGATATAAATTAAGATATAACAAAATTTAATTGTTTTCAACATAGATGAGTGAAAGTAGTGAGTCATGATATTCTTTGGTTTAGGTTTTGCCAACATATGTTGAAGTACTGTATGTGTTTCTTAGGATAAGATTTTCGAAAGTATAAATGTTTTTTTGAAAAATTTAAAATTTACCTAAGTGTGTTTATTTCTGTGTATAATAAATACTATTTAATTATAATTTGATTTTATAATGTGGTTAGTTAGTTAATTTAGTCAATTTAGTTTAAGGTTTAGAGTTTAGAGTCTAGACGACTTACTATTAAGTCGTATGGTAAATATATTTTAAGGTATCAATAGACGACTTAATAATAAGTCGTCCAAACCAGACCGAACCTTTCATTTTACCAATTTACTTTTAAATCTAACCAATTTTTTACCGAACATATATAAGATTTTTTTTTACTCACTTTTTCGCGAAATTCAGAAAACCCTAACGCCGTTTCTCTCGAAGGTGATTTCAAAAGTGATTTCCGTCAAATCTCTCTAATCCATCGTTCTCAACGCCGGTTTTCTCTCTGCCTTACCATCGTCGCTATCACCACCGTTCTCATCGCCTCTTCCTCTATTTCAGATCTGAGAGGAAACCCTACCGCCGTTTTTCTGTAAACCCTAGCGCCGTTTCTCTTAGAGGCTTTTCGTTGAACTCTGCCGCCGGTAAGTTATATCTAAAGAAGAACATGAAACATCGTTCTCACCGTCGTTCTCATCGCACTTCTTTTTTCACGTCTTTTTTTTTGTAGATCTATAACCGCTGTGTCGAAGGCGACTATATCTTCTCCGAATTTTAAGGTCAGCTTTCCAATGTTCTACTAGAAGTCCAGTATGACAACTTATTCGAACGTAGTCCGAGATAAGCAAAGTTTGACCGGTAAAAATCTGGACGACTTTTCTTATCACGGAAGACTTTAGAATAAGTCGTCTGACTGGAGGACTTTAAATTAAGTCTTCTGGGAAATGTTAAAATTAAATTTTTATTTTTCAATTACAAAACTAACCTAAGACGACTTATTCGTAAGTCGTCTTGAACTAATAAAATATTGAAATTTTTACTTTCCTAGAGACGACTTAAGAACATCAAAAGAAAGTAACGCACTAAGAATCGTATGCTTAAATGGCTCTATCAACCATAAAAAAATTTGGAATCAAAAGCTTGGGTTTTTTGTATGAATATGGAGACAAAGTGAAAGAGATGCTTTTTTTAGTTCATAACAATTGAGAAAGAGAGATTGGGTATCGATTTTTAAGTGCATTAAAGGCTTCAAACTGGTTGTACAAGGTTGTTGGGTGTATTCATGGCAATGACAATGTTGTAAATACTTGAAGATGATGAGGTTGAGATAGTAAAAAAGCCATTTTTGAAAAAAATTACAAAACAATTTTAGTGGTATTTACATAGATAAAATGAAGATGTGGGGTAAATAGGGTAAAAAAAGATGAGTCAAAAGAAGGAGTTAGTTTTGTGTTTGACTTTGAGTTATTAGTCAATTTTGCAAAAACCCATATATTTTTATGTGCATGAATTATCAATAATTTGATAGAAACAAACTTGTATGTTTTTTTGTAATAGTTATTTTCTTAAAGTTTAACTGATTAACGAACTTTCAAAGTAGTAGTGATTCAGTTTGTTTATTCAACTATAAATTTCTCAACACTGGTTTATTCAATTTTATGAAAAAATCATATATCAAACTATAACTCTAAATTTCTCAACACTGGTTTATTCAATTTTATCAAAAAATCATATATCAAACTATATGTAATTTACAAAATATATTTATCAACCTAAGAATAAAACTACATTATTCTTTAGTTTAGTCCGATAAAATCAAAAATATGCTACATTTCAAAAGAATTGATAAAACACAATATACCAAAATATGAATAACCAAACCGATAAAAATAGAACAGTCAAATAAACCAGTTATTATGATTTAGTTATTTTATATGTGCATGAATTTTCAAAGTATTACAATTTATGTTATTAATAAAATTATGATTTGTATTTATGTTTCCAGTTTTTTTAATATAATATATTTGAAATTATACAAAATTTTATAAACTATATTTACAAATAAAGAAGATGAACTGAACTACTTGAAACTAAGAAAAGAATAATTCAATTTCAACCTAATTAAAAAAATCATTGTCTGATGAAAGAATATACTAAATTCAACGTATCAAATATATATTTGTACCGATCCAAAATATTATAACTGAATTCACTTATCTACTTAAACTGTGAATTAATAATCTACATGGTATGGTGATTTGATCTCTTGTAACTTCTACTTCCAATCTGAGTTCATTCTCCTTTGCTTGCATTTTGTAGAAACATCCTTGGTCTAGCGGTTTGATTAAGGTTTTCTTAATGTTTCCACACTAGTAGGTTTAGGTTTCAATTTTCAGAAAAGACAGTTATACGGATTAATGGAGAAAAAAACTTACGAGAGATCTGCAGCCTGGTGTAAAGAGTATGGTCAAGTATGAATCCCATAGAGCGACTTAGATGGTGTAGTCAGACGTAATTCCACATAAGGCATGTATAATTGTCGACTATAAAATCAGCTATAATGTTTGTCGTAATTTGTAATAGCATAATTTTCCAGCATTAAAAAATAAAATGCAAACAAAATAACACCTAATACTATTTTTATTTATTTATCCTACATGTTAAGTACAAAATGATTTAAAAATTTATAAACAAACAAAATAATATAATAAATTATTTTCTTTTTCTCTTAATAATTTTTTTTATTAAATTTTAAATTTAAACTAGAACTTGACTCGCACCCCCACGCAAATGTTTGATTTTATTTATGTTTAGCGTAAACTCATAAATCGTTAGTTTCATAAATTATTATAATTTAATTAAGTTATCAATGTTTTTTTTCGTGCATGAGTACGAGAGAATAGCCTAATAAGATATAATAAATGATTATCACATGTGAATTTCATATACATTGTTTAAGGGAATAATAAAACCTTGAATGAGTGTTCGCAAAAAAAAAAAAAAAACCTTGAGTGAGTGAAATGACAAATGACATATAACAAAGACATGATCATTATGCTAAGAAGCGAAGACATAGGAAATGCAATAACAAAATTCACCTCCACAAAGAAAACATAACGTAATCAAAGCTAAAAAAATACATTATGCCAGTTTTCAGTGAGCATGATGGTACATCCTGTAACATATTACGACAAAGAACAAAAAAAATTCATAATGATTAAAAGATAAAAGATAATTATTGACGATTGTCAATTATTACAACATGAACAAACTAACAATATTTCATAAATTTTTGAACGGAAAAAGCCAACAGCGGTTGATCATATATGATATATATTATTATTATTATTATTATTATTATTATTATTATTACTATTATTTTTTTTTTCTTTTTATTATTGTTTTTGA